CATTTAGATCCTTCTATTCTTTCTTTCTTTTACTCATTTAATAAAATTCTCGTCAAGTTTAATGGACACTTTATGTGTGTTAATTGTCAATCCCATCCTATAAACGGTGGTAATCGTTTGTTTGACATTTATCCGACATAAGATAACGCATGGTTTTCTCAATATTCTAATGACATTGAAAATATTATTCGTCTTGATATTTGTTCTCGATTACAATCATTAGTTTTACCAGCTACATCGCCTGAACTAACACAACTCATATTTCGCGGTGCATTTCCTCATTTAAGAATCTGTCATCTTGGTAGATGCAAACCAATCATTTTTCCATTAACGACGACTATTCAACAGTTAAATTTTCGTCAATTAACCGTACGAGACCAAAATGGCGATGAATTAGAGAAAATTTTATTGACTTGTTCTTCTTTAGTGCATCTTGATTTCTCATGTTATGATGTTATTCCTCCATTTGTTATCAGAAACCGTTGTTTCCCATCTATGAAATATCTTCGACTTACTCGAGTTCAAAATTTTTTTTTTCACAATGGAGAATTTGATTTTTTTCTCTCAATCTTTCCAAATCTTTCACAATTTCGTTTAATCGTTGATCAATGTCGTGAAAATGTTGAAATCATTCAACTTAGAGAAATTGCGCATTATTTAAGTCATCGATGTCCATTACTGAAAATATTACTTTTATGTATTTATATGGAAGACTATAGGTGTTGGTCTTCTATCGGTAGTTTCAGGGAAATTACCGAGATGCATTCTCTCTTTAACTATATCGATAGATGTCAAACGCGTCTAATAATATCTTCACATGGTTTTATTCATCATCAAGTTTACTCGCATCGATATGCTCGTCCTTCATGCAAATGATCATACTCACATCGTAGATATCTATATTTGACTTATTCATTTTTGACTATTTCCTTTATATGTCATTCGTATTTTATATTCTTTTCTGATTCTATTCAAATAGAGACTTGAATATTGTTTAAACTTAAAAAAATCTTTATCTTATCTAAACACGATTAAATATAATTTAATAAGAACTTCTAAGAAATAGACATTGTGTCTTACTGATCAAAGTATTGACACTATTTCATATCTTCTTAAAAATCAATCGGATTTTAATTGTTAATAAAAATAAAAAGTGTATCGAATAAATGTATTAACCATATTTGAAGAAAATGACAAAATTTCATCAAAATGAGCAATTCTTCCATTCTCAAAAAAAAATACTTCACTCTCTACAAAGTCAATAAGAAATGCGTTTATTAAAACAACATCAACCGTTATTTTCAAGCTATTTATATCAGAAAAAAATGCGAATAAGTTCAGTTAATGTCGTAAGAAGGCATGACTTTCGGCGATGGCAACAATCATTCATAGAACCAAACAGAGACTGAGTCATATGAAACTCAAAAATTTGAATTGTAGGATTTGTATTTGTTATTCTTAGTTCATTTTGATGATAATTACTACAAATTACTCTTGTACAAAGAATTTTCAATCGTTTGATTGATTTTGAAAGCTTATCAATGTATGAATGCAATAAGTACAAATTGATTTCATCATCATAGTAGAGAGTCAAATAACTTAATTTTCGAAAATATTTTTCATATTCATTAATTTGTTCAATACTTAGAGGATTGAGAAGAGTGAAAGCGATAACTTGAGTGAAAATAGCTAGAGAAGATAAATCTACTATTCACCAAAATCGAACTGTCTTCAAACATAATGTTCAGGATCGCCTGTTCGAACAACGAATTTGTTTAATTCATTAGAAGGTTCAGATAGATGTAGTCTTACTCTGTATCGATGTAGAAATGGTAGAATGTCAGAAGAGAATATATTAATCAAATCATTAATGGATAAATATTGAGCTATTTGAAGAATAATACCCCAAGAGAAAGCGGTTTTTTTAACAAAATCAAATGACTAATAGAAAATGAAGTTTTTGTTGAATTTTCTTTATTACGTAAATTAAAGCTCACTAGATTTTATTCATTATTATCAAACTCTTTCTTGAAAATAATCGATTGATTTTTTAATATTTCGCAATTCAATTTCTCTTGAGTACGTGTTAACATATTCCATTCAAGTAAGGATTTAAATTTATATTCTAATGATATGAAGAGTGTAGGTGTGTGGGTATTGATGCAAAAGGACAAAGGGACTCATTCA